ATTTATTTATTTATTTATTTATTTATTTGGTGGAACCGGGGATTGAACTCAGGCCCTTGCACTTGCCAGGGAAGTGCTTATTCTACTGAACCATCGCCCCAGCCCCTAACTGCTTTAATTTCTGAAAATATATAGGATGAGTAGTGATTTGCCACAGAGCAACTACAAATTCTCCATGCTATTTCCAGCCCAGGAATCCTTAAAAAAGCATTAAAGATGCATAGTTGACCTGTATTCTAGCTACACCAGCATTTTTTATTTTGAGACAGTCTTATTAAATGGCCTGGGCCGACCTCCAGGTCTCTGAATAGCTAGGATTACAGGCATGCTCACTATGCCCAACTACAACTGCTTATTTTTAGTGATGTTTTCATATTACTAACCACACTTCAACTACTTGGAGTACAGCTACTAATCTCATATTGTGGCACAGTGAAAACAGTGTAATGAAATTAGTATTCCCTTAAGCACATCACTCTTTGTAAGTTCTCTTGCACAACGTGGATCTATAGTTCTGCCTATCCTAGTTATTAAGATCGTAATGTTATGTACTGTATACACCTCAGAAATCCTAAATATCCCAATATTAATATAAAAATAAGTTTTCAGTACTTAGAGGATAGCTAACCGTGTGTATCAACTTGACTAGGCCAAAGGATATCCAGGTAGCTGATGACTCATACCTCTAATCCCAGCACTTGGAAGGTTGAGGTAAAAAGGAGTTGAGTTCAAGGCATTCTAGACTGCACAGGAAACCCTGTCATTAAAAAAAGAAATCGTCACTCCCATGTCTGAATACAGAAGCTTCAAATACAACACTAGCCTTATCCTCAAACTCATTGAAAAAGACTGCCTTCACCATTATGGGTAGGAATCATCCAATTCTTGGGCCCCTAATTATAAAACAAAAAGGAGTGAGGGTCAATTTGCTGTCTGCTGGGAAATACATATTATGCCTCAGACATTGGTTTTCTGCCCTTGAGGCTTGGACCTGGACTGCACCATCAACTTCCCTAGGTCTGTAGCTTCCAAGTAGGAGATTATAGGACCGTTATGGTTTGTGCCTAATTGTCTTCTCAAAGCCTCATGTAGTTATGGGGTGGACTTCTAGAGTTTGTGACTAATTTATCAAGTGCTGAGATTATGGGTGTGAGTGCTATACCCATCCTGGAGCTAATAGCCTGAATGCAACGTAAGGGTAACAGATCTGCTCTCTAATGGTTGTTGCCACTACTTCTCCCTTTGCTCTTACTGTTCTGCTGTTTTCCACTGCAATGAACTGCTGCCCTTTGCCACATGCCACTCTGCCTTAGAGCCAGCCGAGTATAGACAGAAGCCTCCGATAACCATGAGCTTAATTTTCCTTCCTTAATTTTGAGTGTCAGATGTTTTGTCCCAGCAACTAAAGAAAAGCAACTAAGACAAGGATGTTCAGCCTCTTGAGTTGTTCAGCTAAACCCTCAATAAATACATCCTTTTGATTCTGTTTCTGTGGAGAACCCCACTTGGTAAAACTTATAATGTATGTATAAGGCCCAGGAATGTAATGATAAACAAGATTCAGTTTCTGCCTTCAATGAGTCCTAGATAGTCTTTCAGAATCAGGTAGTTTCACACCACTATATATATAATATAGTAATTATGCAAGGGACAATACTATGAATACACAAAAGAGGATGTAATATCTTTTAAAATGCATATAAAAAAGGACTAGTCCAGTCTCAATTTCTCTTCTATTTTTTTCTTTTTTGTTTGTTTGTTTTGGAAGAACCGGGGATTGAACTCAGGCCCTTGCGCTTGCCAGGGAAGCGCTTATTCCACTGAGCCATCTCCCTGACCCCTTTTTTCATTTTTTAAATAAGATTTATTACACCAAGAACATATTTACTAGGGAGATAGGGCAGCAATCTAAGTGCCTGCCTGGCAAGTGCAAGGTCCTGAGTTCAATTCCTGGTATCACATGCCATGTCAGCCTTGGACCCCAGGGTGTGCTGTGCTGGCCCCAAAATCAGGTGTAGTGGCACATGCCCCTAATCCCAGCGCTGGGGAGGCTAAGACAGGAGGATTTTTTTTTTTTTTTTTGCCTTTCTCCCCATTAGGTTGCATGACTATACTAAACAAAGATTGTTGTTAATTGTATCCCAAGGAACTGGTATAATATCTCACACAGACTTATACATGCATATATATATATATATATTTTTTTTTCATGTACTAGAGATTGAATCCAGAACCTTCATACTGAGTTACTCTCTCTCCTTCCCTACCTCTTTTTTCTTTCTTTTACATATTTGTTTAGGTAATAGGAGTTAAACTCCGGATCTTGTGCTTGCCAGGCAGGCACTGGGCCGCTGAGCTATACCCCCAGCCTTCCTTTCATTTGAGATAGGGTTGCCCTAAATTTGGGTGTTGGGATTATAGGCATGTACCAATCACCACACCCTGATGAAATATCTGTTGAATAAATACAAGCCCAAATTCTCAGAGGTACAGGGACACGGAAAGAACTATGTGTAGCTTGATATTGGAGTATCGCTTGCAAGAATGTGTTATAGTTTGCATCTTAAGTGTTAAGGTTTGGCTGCAGGCCTTTGGCACTCCTGGGAGGTGGTGGAACCTTTAGAAGGTGGGGTGAATCTACAATAAAAGGGAGTAAGATCATCCTTAAAGATTAGGGCCTTGGTCCCTTTTTGGCTTCTTGGGATTGTAGACAGCTTGCCTAGCACGCAAGAGGCTTCAGCATGCACACCTATCATCACACAAGAGCAGAAGTAGAGCAACTTATAACAATGTAACCAGAATGCTGGCCAGTGGGCAAAGTTTCTTCTAAGAAGCAAATCTCACCCCCAAGTACAAGGATGAAAAGGAGTTCAGTGAATTGTTGGAGGAGAGAGGAAGTGACAGCAGTTGTAATGATCATGACAAGAGCCATATCTACAGAGTAGAACAGTAACTGTCCTGTCATTCACATCAAGTGTACCAAATACATATCCATTTCCTTGCATTTGAACACATCTTCATACTTAAGTCTTACACAAGCCATAAATCCATTATGCATATGTGTTGTGGTGACTGTCAGATGCATAAATTATCTTTTATTACTGCAACTATTCTTGGTTATACGAGATGAACCCAAGGCTTTTGCCCCCCCCCCCTTAAAGACAGTATCTACATTGACCAGGCAAAGGTCTAATTTGTGATCCTCCTGCTTCAGTCTCCCAGAGTGCTGAGTTTACAGGCGTGTCACCCATCTATTTTGTCCCTACTTTACAGGGAAAAACAGACCAAGAAGTTAAGTAACTTCTTTACCTTCAGGCAACTAGTCAAAGGATCACCTCATTATCCTTTCATCCTTAAAGCCAAAAGGGCACCCAAGAGGCTTTCACCCAACGTGCTTCCACTGGGGGATTTTGTTTTTCTTCTCCAGAACCATCTTTCCATCAAGTTCACCCCTGTGCCACAATGTCCGTCACTTTGCCCAGACCCAAGCCACCGTTCCCTTAATCGTTTATGAAACCCTTTTCAAACGCTAGTTCCTCGTTTTGGTATTTATTCGCAATCACAAGCACGAAGCCGAGATACCATCCCCCACTTCAAAGAGCTCTCTCCAGTGTCTTTTATTTACCGCTTTACAGACTTTTATTTACAGACAGTTCCGCGGTCGCACCTCGACCACAGGGGTCACTTGGAAAAACACGCGGCTTTGGACTGAAACTGGTGAAATGCCACCTCCTGACCTCTGGAGCTCGACGCCTCTCCCCTCCGGACACCTTGGAGTAAGGCGTCTTCCCGACCGCAGACCAGCCTACAGTCAGCCACGCTCAGGTAGGAGGCTGGCTCCGCGTTGCCTAGCAACCGCCAGCTTCCCCTCCGCCCGCCAGCCTGGGGATCCTCTTCCGGGGCAGAGGTCGCTCGGCCCCGCCCCTCTTCTCCAAGATGGCGAGCGGCGGTGGCGGCGGGGTGTCGGTGCCTGCGCTGTGGGGCGAGGT